GTTTTAGAACACAGTTTCAAAAGCACAGGTGTGACTAACTAGATTAATCAAATCTTTCCTCCGTGTGCCTCAGCGGGGCCCAGGAGTCATTCCCGGGGGAGGCAGCTTTACAAAAGCTTTTTTTGTTTTTGTTTTTTGGTTCCAACTTTTTTTCAAACCTGTCAATCAGGAGAATGATTTTAAAGTCTTGAACAGAACGCACCATAAACTCGGCTATTAGGCATGAAATACCCAATACAGGTAAAAAAATACATTGTTTTCAATGTCTTTAGGTTTGGTTACATATTGTGCATTTAAATCCAAATCAACATATTTTACAGAAAATTAGACCTTACGTGTGATTTTCAAAGTTATGACTATGGACCAGTGATGATTTGAAGCAGGCAGTACTTCACAGCTGCGTGAAGTGTACACTTAAATCCCACAATAAACTCATATTGTGCGACATTACCACGTGAAAATGCCCCTTAGTTTATTGCTTCATTTTAATAGTGCAGTTAACTCTAGGGCCAGTGATATACTCGCCTCTGATTGCATATTTGCATGTTTATAATGGCTAGCTCATATATCTGTAGAGTTTTTACCGTGCACATCGTCAGACACAACTGGTGTCTGTATGAAATGTGGAGCTGAGCAGTAAAAACCAGTGGAGGGGAAAACATAGCAGAAAATCGACTGGGGATTTAAAATCCATCTGCGCTTTCAGGATCGTTGGGAGAGTCAGAAACGACATTTGATTGGAGATTCCTGATCAGAGGAAGAGGTTCCCTCCATCCAAACGAGAAAGCTACTAATTTCACAAGCGCTTTGGGTAAACGCTGAATTGTTGATATTTCAAGGTCGACATCCACTTATGAACGGGCTTCACTTCTATCAAACGTGGGGACAAAGGATTTCTTTCATTACCTCGTTCTGAGCAGACATTTGCTTGACTCAACCCTAAAAAATTCTTTTGGATTTTCCACTGTGACTGCAGTGTACCAGCTCAGACTATCAAGTCCTTCGCACCACTCATCAAAAGCAGACTATCGCTTTAACATCGGCTGAGTACCAGCTTCCTTTGTGTCCTCATTTAATGTTTACATCGAATCAGAAACCTCTTAACATCTTGAGTTTGCTTTTGTGCGCCCTAATGGAATACTCTGCCGAGAACTATTCGCAGGCAAACATTTACACCGACAAAGAAGATAACAGTCCACATGAGCAGGACGTTAAACAACAAATAGACTTTTCGGTTTATAATTTCAGGCCACGTTTGAGCCAAACAAAAGAGAATCAGGTGTTATATACAAAGAAATATTCCAATATAAGATAGGGAAATTTAACACATCGACCATATAATCTAGAATAATTAGGTTACTTTGTGTTTACAGTTTGTTGCACTCCCTGTAAGCTGCTTCTGAATCATGCTCACGTGCCGCTTGCCAAAAAGCTCAAAGGCAAATTATGATTGATGATACATTTGCACATTACTACAATGAGGCAGCAATCACAGGTATTCAAACAGCAAAGGTTTCTATGTTACAAACAAAAGGAAGTAATCACGTCCTCTTGCAGAGTTGGACTTGTTATAGCTGGTGAAAGAGATCAAGGTTTGTTAGTTCAATAAGAGATGCTACAGCACAAAAGATGGAGGGAGAAGAAGGCCTCATTAGCCTTTTCCACCCATTCCTCATTAAATGAGTCAAAGGTGTGGAGCTCAGTTTCAGCCACGATCCAGCACAAAGGGGGAATGACAGCACCTTAAAGGGTTGAAACAGCTTCCAACTGTCATGGACCCCCAGGTGGTCTCCTGGTCCTGGGATGGACCGTTCTCAGGGCACGACTTATTTTAGTTTTAGTAAAAATCCAGTTTTGGAGTCCAGTTTTGGACTCTTACTGCTGCTTTTCTGTTTTTGGGACTGAAAACTCATTTCTGCATCTCTAAACACACGCAGGCATACGGGTTGTTCCAGCCATCTGGAACAACCAAACGCTGTGATTTTTCCTCGGGAGGATCTGAAATACCACACGTCAGTCAAACAGTCAGGGAAGAGATCGCGCGTTTAACAAACAGGCCATAAACGCTCCTGCAGGCTCCATTGCCTTCGGCCTTTTGATCAAGCGGAGCGCAGATCAAAAAAGATGGAACACATCTATAAGCGTCTCCTCATCTCTGTGGCCTTGTGAGGGCGAGGTCCAGGCTCTATTGCTCACGTTAACGTTACACTGAAGGCACCACTGTAATGCTGAGCGATTCCCTCACTACCGAATATCAAGAGTACAAGCAGGAGGTGTGATACGGAGAGAACCCCCCCCCCCCCCCCCGTCGTCTCAGAGGAGGTCCCCGCCCTCGTGTGGACCTCTCCACACGCTTCCCGTCACGCCGGTTTGAGGGTGGAAATGAGAAATTAGGCTCCTCTCGCCACGGTGGTATGCACGGGCCAGATAAGATAGTTAAACGGGGTGGCGGTGCATTTTTTTTTTTTTTTTGGGTGCAAGTTTCTGGAAAGCTCAGCCATTCCGCAGAGCAGCGCTCTAATCCTCGGCGCGTAATCAGTTGGCCACCTGTGGCAGGTAGGGGGTGAATGAACCTGCTGCAGCAGGTCTCCGGGCACAATGCGCGCGCCACAATGGGGATTTCGGCGGGGGCCGTAAACCACTGACTCATCTACCCTTTTTGCGCGCCTTTAAAATCCCATTGACTCCGTTCAGCCGTGGCTGCCGCCGCCGCGCCAACTTCCAATCTGTTTTTTTTTTTCATGGAACCTCGCTGTCAAATCCACCCGACACACTGTCAGGATTCATCTCCGCTCGGAAGCCGAGGACGGGCCCAGGAGAGAAAAGAGGCAGAGAGGGGGGGAGGGAGTGCAAAGAAAAAAAGTGCTGCTCTGAGATTTCTGCATCTGTAGCCCCAAAGCTGCTGAGGTAGTAAATCGGCCATTTCTATTTACCTTAATTCCTCATCAAAAAGCCACGCAGGCCGGCGGCAGATTGCCGGGATGAAAAGAAGAATAGCTTTTCAAATCAAGCGCTTTCATTTTTTTTATAGATGAAGTTTGCTCATTGATGCAAGGGACCGGTCAGATGGTACAAAAGGCCCACTTGTTCATCGTGGGTTTTTTTTAAAAAGAAAGAAAAAGACAACCCGGTAAAAGTGGCAGCAGGTCTGGCAGAGTGGAGAGTGATTAGCCTGAGAAGCAGGGGCTCGCAGTAAAGTCCCCATCCGTCTTGGGAAAACAAACCCAATCTGGTTGAGCAAACACATTAGCCAGCGCAGCGTTTGCCTACTTCAGGAATGCACCGCCACGTATAACTCCCGTGTAAGGGCTTCCGCCGGATTAAAGTGTTTACCCAAAACATCAAGGTCTCTGCTCCGACTTTACTGGAGACCCCTTAACCGCAGCGTTTCCCCCTCCGAGCCGGGAGTTCTGTTGATACAGCGTAAACAGTTGCCGAAAGCTGTTTGCCAAGTGATGAGTGAAAGGATGCAAACAAGGCAGAGACAACAACGATAAATAAAGCCTAGGATGAAATCATTTACTCAAAGCTGCCGTTGTTTATTTACAAGGGCAGGTTCCGTTATTGGAATATTATCTGAGCTCGGCGAGCGGTTGCTGCTAGTCGGAGGGAGGAGGCCGGGTCACTCTCTTTTAAGACGGCGTTAACGAACAGGACCCACACGGCGAGCACGTCCTTTATTAAAACGCAACAGAGGCACGAGGGAAGCCCACGGCCTGCGCCCTCTTGTGGAACTCCAGGTGTTTATCTGTCAAACAAAGGCTGCCGGTTATGCACACAACCCAAAAGCGTCGAACCGTTCCGTAAAAAAAAAGGAGCTCATTAATTATCGCTCTGCTCCACCTCTTGATTAATTAGCGAATGCGGTGGCCCTAAATGCCACTTAGTGTTGGATATCCATCACCCCCGGTGAACCTTTCTCTCCTGTTAAATGCTAATGAATGATTTGCTTGAGACAATATCCCGCAGCCTTGGTGGCGGTGCCCTTTACAGACCACAGAGCCCTCCTTTATGAGCCCCCCCCCCCCCCTCACTTGTCCCCATGGCTTGCTGTATTGTAATTGTATCTTACTCTCCCTAAATGCAACTTACTTAAGCATGCTTAACCCAACTGGGTGGAACTAAAATCCCAAGGGAAAAAAAAAAAAGAAAAGAAAAAAATTCTATTTTTCCTCTCTTTCTCTGACGTACATCCAGACTGCACGCCCTGTCCTGTGTTTAACAAATACTAACAAGAGAAATGCACTGGAGTAACTAATAATAAAGAAGAGGTTATTATTAGTTACGTGAAGGTGGTGACACTTTGCCTAACTGTCCCCCCCTCTCTTTGTCTGCCTCAGTGTGTGCTTTCTGGTTGTTCATCTTTGATAGTGTGAGAGATTTTAATGCCTTTCTTTCTTGCTTGCTAATCTGTTTTCTTTTTTTGTCTTTTTCGCACATATATGTCAGCACACATATATGTCGACCTCTGTTTTTCTTTTTCTGGAAAATGTTCAAATTTGAGCTCTGCTAATTTGCTAAGAACCACTACTGTCAGTGTTTTCAAGGTTTCTTTTCTGAAAATTAGACTGAAGCTTCCCTTTTTTCTCTATGAATTCACTTTTTATGTCATAGACAGGAGATTTTTGTTTTATTTTTTTTGTCAAATCTGGCCATGCTCTGCTCTCATAGAGAAAAAAGAGAAGGATGTAGACCCTCACCACTGTGAGACTGTTCCAAACTGTTTTTCTTTTTATGCTGATCTCCAACATTTACTGTTCTTGAGGAGCTATCTCTCATTGAAATTTGGATCTAACCGATAATGCGAGTGTTAAATTCTCTGCATGGCAAAGAAGTTGCAGCTTAGGGTTTGTAAAACTGTCAGTGTTGAGAGTGCTGTTCTCTTTTGTAGATGGGCATGTATATGCTCATTGTTTGTATATCCCCATCCCTTCCTTACAGCCAAAAGCTCTAATGCCGCCCGACCGCTTCGTGCCGCCTTTACATGGACATGGCAACTGATGTACACGTTCACCCCCATCTATGTCATTTCCTTCCTAGTATGTTCATAGGTCCCACCCCGTCTCACACCCCCTCTTCCCCAACCCTTTACGTAGAGACTTTAAGAAATGTACAGCCATTCATTATTTGTTCATTATGGATGAACAAATAAAAAAAAAAAAAAAAAAAAAGTAAAAAAAAGATAAGACAAAAAGGCTGATCAGGCTGTAGATATTTATGGAGATTTATCAATCGAAGCAAGAATTATAGATATACTGTTGACTTTTTTTAAATATAAAACAAAACTACTGAAGGAAAGAAAAAAAAAAAGAAATCCTGAACAGAATGGTGAAAATTATTTTCATGTCATGATGTGTGGATGTATGTGTTGTTGCCTCCCTGTGCCATCCTGTCTAAAAAGAGAAATATTATACTACTTAATCAGAAACTGTTTTTAAAAAAAAATCTAACCTAACTTGTCCAAAGGCATTCTTACACAACTTTCTTTTGTAAATTTTGTTTTCTTCCTGCCAAAATCATGCGGGCAATTTGTTGATGTAAGTTGGAAAAAAAACTGATCGTATGCTTTCTTCCTTTGAAAACTGTTTTCTTTTGTTTTCCTTTTGTTTTTCTTTCGTAGGCTTTTATGATTTTTCAAGCTACCTACTACTAATCCTTTTTATGGATAGCTCTATCTGTGGCTTTACTTTGTGAATGTTTTATTCCGATGTTTGCTCTAACTCTGAAGTCTTTTTTGCAATGCCTTAATTCTTTTTTTTTTTTTTTCTCATTTGGTTCCTTCATTTACGTTGTGTTCTTTTTCTTTATTGTTCAAAAAGGTTTGCATCTCCTTTTAGTGCCCTGTTTGTGAGCCTTTTGCAATGTACAAACAAGCCACTTTGGCAAGAGCAGAAGCAGCTTCAATAGACATTTGAATGTTTCAGACTCTTTAAACCAGTCACGATGAACGGGTGGACCAGAAAAAAACAAGCCGCTGCGCTTTTCTTTCTTTGCTCGGACTCGCTCCAAAACGGAGGATTCTGGTGGAAGTCAGCAAACATTCAGGTGTCACCGAACTGCCCGCAGACTTTGTGCCACTGTGGTGACTGTAGGGTCAAAAGGCAAGAGGCCGGGGCCAATAGGGGAGCCCGCTAACACTGAGGAAGAGCCTTTAGCTCGCGATCTTCTCTTTTTTTTATCAGCATCGTACAGATAACAGCCGAACAAAAAAAAGAGGCACTGGTTAAATAGATTTTTTTCAGATTTTGGAACGCTGTCAGCAGCTGTTAAGTGTCCTGTAGGGGTCAGTAGGTCAGCGGGGGAAAAAGCTACAGAGTGAAACACTTAGTAAACCCGCTTCCAGGCCCACTGCTTTTTACTTCAAGCGTCACATCTTTGGCTGCTCCTCGTTTTCCAACAGGCCGACAGAGAGGATTCTCTCTTAAAGAGCAGCAAAGTTCGTCGAGGTAGGAATGCAGAAACACTAGACGGAACCGAACGTGCGCGTTCCAGACGGAGGCAGGACAGTGTAGGAGTCAGTTTACTGTGGCTCGCCCTCAAAGCCTTTTGATGCAATGTAAACTTGATTTATGGCTGTTGTTTTCTTTCAGTTTTGGGTCTTGTTTGGTTCTGAGTTTCATTGTTTTTGCACTGGTTCAGTATTGTTTTGTTCTTTCTTTCGTTCTTTCCTTCTTTCTTTTGACTTTATTTCCATCCTTTGTTGAGCTTTGCATTTTACGTTCTTTCTTTACTGATTTGTTTTGGCGTCTGACTGCTTTTTCGTTGGTTTGTTTGTTTGTTTTGTTTTGCTCTGTCCATGGAGGACTGGTCCGCCCGCTGACTTTTCTCTCTGTTTCTTTCACTTGGCAGGAGGGGAGCTAGTCATCCCCGTGCTAGTCGAGGACCCTATAGACATCCCTTCTGTATCCACCCGTTCCCCCTTCATCCCCCTCCCCCCGACCCTCCGCCCCGTCCTCACCATTATTGAGACCACCAAAGAATCCATGGCCATGGCCACTGAGGCGGGGGTCCCTTGCTTGTCGGACCGAGGCGGCGATGATTGTGATGGTGGTGATGGTGGTGATGATGGTGATGATGATGATGATGATGGCATGGTGATTTCGGGGTTTGGCTCTGGCGAAGCTTTCGACTCTAGCCTGCCCCCGACTGACGATGAAGATTTTTACACCACCTTCTCCCTGGTAACAGATAAGATCTTGACCACATCGGCCTATGAAGGCGGCTACAAAGCCCTCGCGCCAAAGTGGGAGGCCAAGGACTTGAGGCCTAGCAAAGCCTCAGAGGCGGGTAGGACTACACCCACCTCGCCTCTGCCCGACCCCCGGGGCACGCCGCCGCCGCCGCCGGCGGCCCCCTCGGACACGCCGCCCAAGCTGCCCGCGGGGAAAATGAACAACCGCGAGGTCAAACCCCCGCAGCCGGACATAGTCCTGCTGCCCCTGCCCACAAGCTTTGACGCGGACGGCACCAAGCCGCGGGGGCCCTTCATCACCTCCCCCATGCTGCGCACGGTGCCCGCCGCCCCGCCCACCCAGCCCGGCGTGGTGCGGCGGGCGCCGCCCGGGGCCTCGGAGGTCATCCGGGAGTCCAGCAGCACCACGGGCATGGTGGTGGGCATCGTGTCGGCCGCCGCCCTCTGCATCCTCATCCTCCTCTACGCCATGTACAAGTACAGGAACAGGGACGAGGGCTCCTACCAGGTGGACGAAACGCGCAACTACATCAGCAACTCGGCGCAGAGCAACGGCGCGGTGGTGAAGGAGAAAACCCCCGGCGGCAGCGCCAAGGCCAGCGCCGGCAGCAAGAGACCGAAAGACAAGGACAAGGAGTATTACGTATAGAGATCCAGTCCATTTCCCAACACGTTACCAACGACGACCACAACAACAACAAAAAAAAATCAACTGTTTGGAACAAAGCGATAAACAGTTTTGACAGTACCATATTGGCAACTGTGATTTAAAAAAACGGACAAATCCTCGGGAGAACTCGAAACTCACCGAGTCACCGGAACATTTCCAAAAGAACTCTGGGCCTCCGGGAGCAAACTCGCCGTGGTCAGCGTGGCGTGGACTTTTTTAAGGAGTCCCGGCTGGAGAACAGGTGGCAGTGTGAATAACATCACTCTTAAACACCCACACCACCCCAAGTGACTGTGACGAGGTGTGTGACCCCTTGGAGTTCTGATGACCCTGTCCATTGTAACCCTGTATAATACGATCACTGTCATTTCGGCCATTCTGAGCATGCATGTGAGGTGTATGTGACGTGGTGCTGGCATCTGTGTAAGTGAGGGATCCCAGAAACTATGATTGTCGGCAAAGTCGGGAAGTTTAGACATGATTTGGCTCTTCAAAGGTTAAATGTAGCTTTCATGGACGCGGTATGAGGTAAAGTATATGTGTACTAAAAGCTGTCTTTTTAGTTCGATATCTTTTTTTTGTCTGTTTTTTAAGGCTTTTGTTATTTATTTATTTTATTTATTGAATTTACATCTGTTGTTGAAGGATGATGTTAAGTCAAAGTTTGCTTGATAGCACTCAGTGGCAGCTTAGCAGGAAGTGATGAAGTCATTTTTCTCTGTATTTTGCCCTCCCTCCCCCACATTTAAATTAGGAAAATGGATCAAATTGCTAAAAGTGTCCAACATGCTAAATCAGATGGAGCAGACGTAGAGTATAAAGCGTTTGTCATTTTTTAAATTGGAAATTTAGATCTGACAGCATTTTTCCCCTTTATCTACTGCTGACGTTTTGTTGTTTTGTTTTTTTCTTGATATTCTGTGGAGAACTGGGTCATCATAGATTTTTTCGGGCAATGATGTAACAATTAGAATTTTTTTTTTTTTTAAAGGCTACAGACTTACAGCAATGTTAACAGGTGTGATTCTATCCGTTATCACAGACGACTGTGTCAAAAACAGCAAACATGTTTACACGTTTTATTACATTTAGCCGTTGTGCTTTGCAGGTTAATATTGTACAGATAATTCAAGTTTCTGTTTATTTTTTTCACCTCTTTATGTATAGGCAGTTAATTTGATTTGACTTTTTTTTTTTTGCTGTTTCCAATGTGATTCTTTTTTTAATTCTTTTGCCCAACAGATAAGAAGTGATGACACAACCTTTGTTTAGGCAGGGGGTAAGTGTTGTTAGATTAGAAGTCCAGTCTCTCTGGACGGTGTTTCTCTACAGTCGCATGAATATTTGACCATCTGAAGCTATCAGTCAAACAGAAAAACACCTCCCTCTGATCCTGGTGTGAGGGGTCACTCCTTCTGGAATTACTTTCATCATGTTATTTATTTTTTTATTGGAATAAAAAAGAAATAGAACAAGAGAATAAAGACAGATTATGGTGGATTTGGAGATTTGTGCTAGCACCTTACTGACTTACAGGTGTTTTTCTTTCTCTTCTTTGCATTTGATTTATTCTTTCCTTTTTTTACTGTCAGCGTCTGGTCTGCTTTTTTTTTGTTATTGTAAAGCTTATTTCATGTCCCATTTATAAGACATTACGTTCTGGGGATTTGTTGTTTTTCTATGTCTTTATTTACTAGTAAGGTTATTAGTTCGCATTCATTTTCATTCAAATCAGTCAGTGTATATGTTCAGTTTGATTTTCTTTTCTTTTGTGTTGGTAGTTTGTGTTGGTTTTTTTTTTTTCCAACCTGTTAATTGTTGTCTTATGCTCCCCCTTGACTCCAAACAATTCCCAGAAAATAAAAAGAAAATGTTCCCAAAGGTTTTGGGTGTCAGCCTGCAGGCGGATGTCCTCACTCCTCCGTGTTGTCCTATGGGAGCAGGTGACAGCGGTGGAGACAGGTACCGACCAATCCAAAGCACAATTTCTCATCCATTTACCTCACTGCTTTCCTTTTATACCTAAAAGTGTTATCATTTCTATTCAAATGAACTCTGGAGCAGAGCAGCTCGATGCTATCATTTACCTGCAGATGATTATGTAAATTCATACAGTGCTCATTGGTGCAACAACAGAGAGAGAACATGGTTATTAAGGGGGGGGCAGAGTCTTCAAAACATTGGCTTTGGGTTGCAGTAAGACTGGTCTTTGTGAGAGCCAACAGCCAAATGAGATTCTCCACAACCATACGGCCCAGTTATGACCTGCTCAATGGCGGCAGCACCTGCTTCCCCAGCTCCATTTTACAGTGTCCATATTTCGCGCAAATGGGTCTCCGCAGAGCCGGTCATTAACTCGCAATAGCCCGTTGATGTAGGCTGTCAGAGCGCCGTGTGTGAGTATATCCAACTCGTACAATAACTACATATTAACTCATTCATCCTGCCACAGGCAAAGCAGCGAGAGCCAGCAGAAGATTGTTCAGCCGAGGGGGATTTTTACCCATTCACATCCAGAGAGAGGGAGAAATTCCTGTTTTCTTTACCGGAGGTGTGTGGAAATGTGTTCTATGTCGAAACAATCACATTTTTTAGGTGTAAGAACACAGGCAGACACATTTAGTCCATATAATGACTCACAAATAAAGGGGCAGACTGCGTGGGCGATGGTGTCTTTTCCCGGGTCTCATCTTGGCTGACCATCTACAGACAGTGAAAATACAATAAAGCATCCTTCAGCTCTTTGACGTCCACTTTTAGTGCTCATCTAAGGGCGATGGGAAAACGGTTGACATTCAGTCTCCTGGGTATTTATTGGCTTCTGCTTCAAACAGACAACAGCACGTTGGGGTACGAGCTACAGATCAGAGGGGATCGCTGCGTTCTGGGCTAAAAGAGTGTGCACAGTTCTCATTTTCTCACAATGAAATGCGTGTTTTTCTGAGCAGAATGCTCGACTGGAGACACAGGAGTCCCTGTTACACAGTCACACCTCCCTGTTGCTGTTTCCCGCTGCGAATTACGCAGAGTTTCACTTTCTAAATACGCGCTTGTCCTCAGAACATGCTAACAGTGGGAAAAGATTTAATGAGCTTGTGTTAGTGGGTGTAATTTAGAACATATTTTGAAATGTTTTTGCCACAAAGTCATTCTCAAATTCAATTTTATGTATTTCCAAATCACAACAAATATGATCCCGAGCACTAGTCTAATTTAAGCCAATTAGAATCCAAATCACTATTATACAATCAAAATATAATCAGTTGATGTTATTAAATTCCAAAAATATCCAAGTCATACAGAGCCAATTTTTAAAAAGTGCCAATGAAGAGAACTTAAAACTGGAAATCTCAGGAATTCTTTAGGGACAATAATACAGATTTATAACAGCCCAATCTTGAAGTAGCAAGTGCAAAGTTTTTCTGCTTCACTCTGATACAGAATGTACCTATTTGGAGAGATATTACAAAGGTGAAAGAAGGCAGTTCTGAGAAACCTGTTTCACAGGTGAGTCACATCACAGATTCTCAATAATAACTCCAGGGTTTCTCACTGTAGGTCTAGAGGCCCAAGAAATGGAATCTAGAGTAGCTACAGTGTATAGATGAAAAGCTTTTTCCCTATGATGGTACATATGTCTGCTTGAAGTTGGTTTCATAGATAGGCCTAACAGAGCATCGTCAGCCATGTTGTCTAATAATGTTACCTAACGGAAGCATAATGTGAAAATAATTGGTCAGAGAACAGAACCCTGAGGAAGTCCATGGCTTGTTTTGCTGTGGGAGGAAGATTCTTCGTTAGTGAACAAACTGGAATCCACCAGACAAACACGGCCTAAACTGAGCCAACGCAGTCTATCAACAAAGATAGAGAGGTTGAGTCCAATATCGTAGCGTTATTTTGGGGGGATAATTTTCTTGAAAAGTCTGGTTGGGATTGGGTCTAAAAACACAAATCCATGGTTTTTAAAGATGCTTCTTAATCGGTTGTACGTGGTAATAGCTCAGTGACAATTGTGGGCAACAAAACTCAGACTCTTTGGCTACAGTACAGACGAGAAACCTGGGATTGTTCCTATCCTCTCCTCTATCAGTGATGAATAGTAAGTGGCTCTGGCTTTATAAAGTGCTTTCTCGTATGCTATTAGACTATCTTTGCAGACTAAGTGAGATTGTTGCAAATTAGTAAAGCGCTCCGTTCTATCCAGCTGTGAATTATCCCAAAGAGAAAGCTTCTTTTGTCACAATGCACACAATCCAAACCACCGACAGTCAGCAAGCGCTGAGAATAGAGCGTTAGAGTCAAAGTCAATTTACTTTAGTACTGTGCTTGATTTACGTTTTTTTAGAATTTGTGCTTTATTTGTCGTAGCACCTTTTTTAGATGCAGAATGAGGCTTCCACACCAAATGTGAGTGAGGAGTGAAAGGAGAATGTATTGAACTGTAAAGCATCCCTGAGCGTTTGGAAAAGTGTTTTATGCAGCCGATCCCTTACTATTACCTATTATCATTCATTTGGAGTTACTTCCCTCTCCAATGTACCAGGAATATTTCCGCTATTGTTCTTGATCACGTTCAATTAAAATAGACTGTTAAAAAACTTTGTTTTTTAGGCAGATACTCCAGCATGTTAACTCAAGTAGCTCAATTTGACAGAGCTACTTTTACTTTAACTGGAGTAGTATTTGACAGGTAGGATCTGTACTTTTATTCAAGGAATGAATCTGAGCACTGATCAGACTCCCAGTCAGGTAGTTTCTGCAGTCCTCGACTTATAAAAGTCAAATCTCCTCAAAAAGAAGAAAAATAAAGCAGCTGCTTTTGCAGCCAGCAAACTTTTGCTTCCTTAAGCTGCATTATGAGCTCATTGTCAACTTTGATTTAGCTTGGAATTCGTTTTCCAGCCATTTCCGTGGCGTGCTCATTTTTGTGGAGCTTCGTACAACAGTTCGACCCATAAAGCAGGATTTAGATTTAG